AAAAATGAACAAAGGGCAATAACTCCAAAATTAGGCAAGATAGAGTTATGGTTCTTTGGCACTGCAAATCTATTTAACGAGATCTATATACATACAAAGATTCTTGTTGATACCTCCTATGGTTCCAGAGCTATGTCCCGTACAAAGTTCAAATTTAAAAAAAATGAACAAAGGGTAATAACTCCAAAATTAGGGAAAGCAGAGTTACTGTTCCTTTGTTCTGCAATTCTACCTAGTGAGATCTATCTACCTACAAAGTTTCATGTTGATATCTCTTATAGTATTAGTCTGAGTTATGTCCCAGACAAAGTTCAAAGTGTAAAAATGAACAAAGGGCATTAACCCCAAAATTAGGCAAGGTAGTTATGGTTCTTTGGCACTGCACTCCATCTCAATGCCCTCAACCCCTGTGTGCAGTTTAAACAAATTATGTCCAAGGGTTTTCAAGTTATGCTCTGGACAAAATGGATGGAAGGACGAAAGGATGGACAAGGCAGCGACTACATGCTCTCCCTTCAGGGAGCATAAAAACTTTTTGTACTTTGACATTATGACCTAGTTAATTAAACTGACTGCACATGCCTCAGATATTGTGTAATTTTATGTATTAGGGGCAATACCCTTAACAAAAGCATTGAAGAGTCAAAACATACTGTTCATTGAAGTCTTGGTTTAAAATGTAATATATCATTTCCATTCCAAAAAAACAACAACTAAACAACAACATCATCACCTACATGAGAAAGATTACACTACATGTAAAAGATTCCACCTTTCAATAATTTACAGAAAGCCTTTCATGCACACTACCAATATCACAATTAACAGCAGTGCTTCCTTTTTGTACCTTAGAAAATGGAAAAGATGATAATAATCCCTAGATAAAGGCCAATTTAGACTATTGTGGAGACAATGCAAAATATACCACATATATTTCAGCTCTCTGTTCTCCCCCAAGAGCTTGGTTATATTTTCATAAAGATGTTATGACAGGTCAGTTGCTAAACACTTTTGCCAACTGACTACAAAATCCCATAGACTGGACAAGATTTTCTAATTGCAGAAATTTGACCTCCAAGTTTGACCTTCATCTTGAAGCTAGGGGTCTTGGTCTTGCGCATGGCATATTATCTAATCGTACTTCACCTTTGTGCCAAGTAATTTAAAAGCCCATAATGCATGACCAAGCTAATTGTGTCGGACAAGATGTTCTTAATGCTGTCCCTTGACCTCTAAATGTGATCTTGCACATGACACATTATCTCATCATGCTCAACACTTTGTCAAATTGTTTAAAATTCCCTCGATGCATAAAAGTTATTAACCAGCCAAGATTTTCTTGCTGCTGACCTTTGACCTCTATGTTTGACCTTAACCTTGAAGCTAGGGGTCTAGGTCTTGCACATGGCACACTGGCTCATCAGCTCAACATTTGTGTAAGTTATTCCAAAATCCCTTGATGCATGACAAAAGTTATAGGCTTTAGTTCTGATATTTGACCTCAATGTGCAGCCTTGACCTTTGAGCTAGGAGTCAAGGTCTTGCGCATGACATACCATCTATCACCCAAGTTATTTTAAAATCCCTTGAAGCATGACAAAGTTATCTCAATTTAAGCAAAATTCAATAATTGGACCTTAAAAGTCATGGTCTCCTTAAGGTCAATGTCAATCTTAAGCAATTCAACATACTGATTTGACATGTGTTGGTTTGGATGAGTACATAACATTATGTATAAGTCATATTCCTAAATAAAATAAAAAAGTTATCAAAATTTATGCTAAATTCAATAACTTAACCTTAGAACCAAGGTCATTTTAAGGTCAAGATTGTATCAAAATTATTCAGAATGCCAACTTGTGTCATAAGTGTATGTACCGACTTATTTCTTTCATATTGATATTTTGGAAATATTCTAAATTTAAATAATAAATTTCTATACTTCAGGCATCAGTGAATAGCTTTGAACATTTTCAGCAAAATTTCAGCAAAATAAATGATATGACCTTGGTCATTTTAAGGTCAAGGTCATATTTTGAATTATTTATCATTTAAGTTTTGTCACAAGTGTTGTTTTGTCCGAGTATTAATGAAATCCCTAAATAAACAACAAAGTTATAGCCAATTTTATCAAAATTCATTAATTTGATCTCAAATTTGTCAGTCAAATAAAGGTCAGAGTCAAATTTTCATCAAACCACATTGAAAGTCTTGTCCTATGGCTGTTGCCTGTAAGTATGAAGACAATTCACCCTTAAATTATAAAGCTATAGCCATTTATAGCAAAAAGTATAAACAAAAAAACACAATAATTTTACATTCAAGGTCAAGATCATTTCAAAATCAAAGTTAAGCTTAGTTAAGTTTTCTTGAAAGACTTGTCCTTAAGGTAGTTGTTACAAAGTATCAAGACAATACAATCATTAATAACAAAATTATAGCCAGCTAAAGCAACAAGAGGGTCATGATGGCCCTGAGGTCGCTCACCTGTATATAGGCCCCTGGAGCAGGGCCAGTTTAAACCCCAGGGCTTTTATTTGAACAAACTTGGGTGACACCCATTAGAAGATGTTTCTTGATGTTAAGTTTTTACTACACACATATAATGAAAAACAATGACCTCTGCCCTCCCCCACCACCACCTCCCCCCCCCCCCCCCCCTGGCAGGGCCATTTTTTACCCAAGGGCTTTTATTTGAACAAACTTGGTAGACACCAATAAGGAGATGTTTCATGCTAAACATCTAAGCTCTATAGGTCATTGGGTTTTTTAAAAGAAGATTTTTTAAGTTTTTATTATACACATATAGTTAAAAACAATGACACCCCTGGGGCATGGCCAGTTTTGACCCCAGGGATTTTATTTGAACAAACTTTGTAGACACTTACCAGAAGATGTTTCATGCTTAATATCTAAACTCTAGCTATTTGGGTTTTTTCAAAGAAGATTTTTAAGTTTTTGCTATACACATATAAGGAAAATCAATGACCCCCGGGGCGGGGCCAATTTTGACCCCAGGGCTTTTATTTGAACAAACTTTGTAGACACCCATTAGAACATGTTTCATGCTAAATATCTTAGCTCTAGCTCTTTGAGTTCTTTAAAAGAAGATTTTTTAAGTTTTTACTATATGCATATAGGGAAAATCAATGACCCCCTGGGGCGGGGCCAATTTTGACCCCAGGGCTTTTATTTGAACAAACTTGGTAGACACCCATTAGAACATGTTTCATGCTAAATATCTTAGCTCTAGCTCTTTGGGTTCTTTAAAAGCAGATTTTTTAAGTTTTTACTACAGTCGAGACTGCCTTAGCGACCCCCTGATTTCAACGACTCTCTGTCTTATCCGACCTTGTTTCAGTCCTCCCAACGTATTTTCCTATATAAATGGTCTGAATTAAATGACTCCCTGTCATATGTGACAAGCGACCCTAATTATCTGGTCCCAATGCATTGCTTTGTCTAATTTAAACGACTTTCACACCTTTTAATTGTCCGTTAATCAGATAAATAATACCTGTTTTAACACCCAGATGGACAAAATAATTAAGTCCAAGTGACGTAGTGTCCGTAGCGTCTGATGCAATCGATGTGTGTTAACAAATTGAGGTCACAGGTGTAATGAACATAATGAACTGAGTAAACTGGATACAGACTTTTTAAAAAAAATTATGGAGTGCCAACGGAAGATTTTTTTAGGCAGATTTTTTATTTTATTTTACCTTTCTATGGCTGCATGGATAATCCGGAAAAATGTGGATACCAGACTAATATGGATATGTTTTTAAAAGTATGATATTTATTTTAAGGATATGAATGCATCAAATTCAAGTTTATTTTGTACCATAATGATTCAATATGAAACTTTTTGTACCATAATGATTCAATATTAAACTAATACATAAAATAAATAAAGTTTTATATGATATAAATACTATTATATTTGCTTTACAGGGATTCTTATTTTATTTACATCAAATATTTAAAGTACCTATGTGTATTTGCAATTGGTTAGATATTATTCCTTCACACAGTTATACAGTATATATGTATATATAAGTCACAATGATATATAGACAGACAGATGGTATTTAAATTTTAATTTTCTATGAGACTGTATTAAGAGACTCCCTGTCATATGTGACCTTTTTCTCAAGATCCCTTGGAAAGTCACATATGACAGTCTCGACTGTATATGCATATAGGGAAAATCAATGACCCCCTGGGGCGGGGCCAATTTTGTCCCAAGGGCTTTCATTTGAACAAACTTGGTAGACACTCACTATAAGATGTTTCATGTCAAATATCTAAGCTCTAGCTCTTTCGGTTTTTTAAAAGAAGATATTTAAAGTTTTTTCTTTCGGTTGCCATGGCAACCAGAGTTCTGCATGGAATTAAATTCTTTGAACAATTTTTAAAGGTGACCACCAAAGGAACATTCCTGTGAGGTTTGGATGAAATTGGCTTAGTGGTTTATGAGGAGATGTCATTTAAAGTAAAAGTTTACGGATGGACGACGGACAAAAAGCGATCACAAAAGCTCACCCTGTCACTTTGTGACAGGTGAGCTAAAAATCTAGCAAAATTAAATATATTGACCATCAAGTTCAAGTTCATTTATTGGTCAAGGTCAAGTTCAGTATGAGGCAAAATAAAAACTTGGACCTTGAAGTTCAAGGACAATTATAAGTGAGGGTCAAGTTCAGTCTTGTCAACTTGAAGATCATGTCAAAATTGTTGTTGTGTCCGAGAAGATTGGCAATCCATTGAGAAATACAAAAAAATCTGACCAACATTAATGTTTTTGGACAGCAACAGCAACAACAAGACTGTTTCAATAGCTTTTTTGTTTGATTTTTTTTTTCAATAGCTTTTTTGTTTGAAAATCTTAAGCTAAAAGGACAAGTTCCTATGCTGTATATTTTGGAGTTAATTTTGAATGCCTTTTTTCTTCTTTTATTTTATTAACTTGCCTACAGTGAAAAATGATAACAATATGGTATTTTTAAATATTTTATTAATGCTAAGTCATAAAGGCAAAAACATAAAAAGTATCTATGGCAATTATATGGCAACAGGGTTTTCAAATACTCTATTTGAAAGACCCTGGTGGATAGTAATAGTTAACAATTTAAACAGCACTAAAAATTAAAAGAAATCATTGTATAAATATGTCACTGACATGGAAATGGAAAGATGTCATGAATAAATAAGTATGCAAAAGATTTTAGTTTCAACATAAAGCATAATATAAACAAGACATGTCCAAGGACAACACACTTTTCTCAAGTGCTAGATAGTTCAATAAAATCAACATATAAAAGATGGCATATTTCCGCAAAGTGCTAAGCAGACTTACCTGCCCTTGATAGTTAACAAATATTACAATTTTGAAGTGAATATATTTTTTAGAAAAAGGCAAATATTCTTATATTTAGCAAAAAAATTATCTGCCCCATAGAGATGCAGTGAACAAGTATTAAGTGAATATCTTTGATTCTTTTTGAGAAAAATACCTGACAAGTTCAAGTCAAAGAGGGGCATAACTGAGAAAAAAAAAAGAAACCTGCCCTTTAGAAATGGATTCCAATTTAAAAATGTAAAACGGATTCAAAGTCTGAAATGATTATCTTTAACAGTTTTTTGAGAAATTGATCTAAGAAGAAAAAATAAATAAGTAAAACAAGGGCTATAACTTTGCTAAATGAATTTAAGAATTACCTGCCCTTCTGAAAATGTGTCATATTTTGATGGTAAATATGTATATTAAGTTTGAAGTGAAAAACTTTAATAGTTTATAAGAGAATAAACCTTAACAAAAGGTTTACCAGGTCTAAAAGTCTAAAAAAAGGGCAAAACTTTCCATTAAATACTTTTAGCATTATCTGCCCTTTTGAAATGGCGTCCATTAATGACACCAAGTTTGAAGTGAATAGTTTTTAAAGTTTCAGAGAAAATGGACCTTTACAAAAAGGTTAACCAATGCCATTTTGAGTTTACTCTCATGTTATCGAGAATTCATGATGCCATTTTGGAAATCATAAAACTAATCTGATGCTCTCTCTATTGATCTAAGCACGCAGACATTTATGTAACATTGACCCAATGAATTTCAAACTCACTAAAAATAGATGTACATTCTTTTTGAAAATTCAAGATATCGGTAAATTATTAAAATTTCTCTGAAAAGAAGAATGTGAACCAAATTAAAAGGCTATCTTCAGAAAGTCTATTCAGAAAGTCTAAAGAACAATGTAAACCAAATGAAAAGGTTATCTTGAATACACATCATAACTACAAAATCCTATTTAGGTTATATATCCCAGTAACCCCTACTGTGCTTTAACATAAAGTAGCACAACAATCATATATTTTCTGTTTATGAAGTCGATGTTTTCCCTAGTCAAAATCTGGATACACAACACCTAACTGTCCACGAATCTTGTCTGATATCTGACTGATCATTTCACTATCTCCATGTGTCACAAATGGATGCTCTGTTAAACCTGAAAATATAGAATAATCATATTGTAATTTGAATTAAAGTTCTGTTTTAATATATTGTAGCATATCTTATTGCAGCAGTTGTAGCATTTCCAGTAGCACCAGCATTGTTAAGACTGTGATACTGGTGGCAGAACCAAATAAACCAATGTGCAAATTGAGGCACTTATTTGAACCAATTTCCAATGCCCATTTAACAGGGGCATATTTTAATAAGTGGCAATGGCAGCATGTGTTTATAAACAAGTCATACCTATGAAAAATGATTAGTAAGAGTCCTTCAAAATATTCCATGGAGTTCTACACACTTTTCCAGCTTCATAATCCATTTCAAAAAGGCATTTTTGAACTGTTCTTTGGGTATATTGTTTATACACTGGTAGAGAGCACTTCTGACGGTACTATGGGTTTCAAACCAGCAACGGTGAAGGCAAGATTTGATGTATGGATTTAACCAACAGTCACAAGGTGAGAGGTCAGGACTATAAGCGGGATGCCACATAACCTCAAGTCTCTGCTCCTCTAAATAAGCTTAAATCAAGGCTGAGTATTTTGATCTTGTGCACCCGGACCTTGGGTTCTTTGTAGTGATTAACTACAGCAGTGAGAACATGGTCACGGTAAAATGTTCCAGTGACATTACCTCTCTAAGGCACAGGGACACAGGCCACTATTTCCATCACTGTTAAAACAGAGAGCGTACATAAATCTTTTAACGCTTCTGCTACATAGAGCAACAACTGGGTGATAGGTGTTTTCACCTACCCACATTTTGCTACTGACTTTATTGTCAGGCTCAAAAAAATAAAGCCAGGTTTCAACTCCTGTGACAATTTTTCTAAGGCATCTATGGTCTCCATCTTTGAACCTAGTCAATAAGACCGAGACTTTTTCAGCCCGCTCCCTTTTCTGGTCAGAAGTTAGCAAATGCACAAATCCAAAGGGCACACACTTTCCTTAACTTTAAATTTTCTTTCAAGATGGAAAAACATATGATGCATTAAGTCACACTATGTCACTTATCTCTTTCAAGGTATATCTTGCATCTTCATCAATATGGCAAATAAGCTCTTTGCTCCTCTCTCAAATCACAATACAACTCAGCCATCTTTACAACCACTATACATGACCACATGTATTTGAATTTTTTATTGCACATGCAAATCATGTGAAATATAGACTAATGGTTAGAAAAATCAATAATCTTTACATGGGTATATTATACATGTACTTTCACATGCAAATCATGGTTAAATTGAGTTGTTTCCACTAATTACAATATGCCCCTCATACTATAATAATTCAAAAGTCAAAAATATTATACAAACCAACAGCCAGAAGGGCAAAACAATTTGGAAGTTTTTCCATAGATAGAAATAATGGTATTTATAGGTATATTTATACTTACAGTCAGGCATGTATCAAAGTTTGTGATCGGTTTCTTTTTATACATAAGACTTTCTATCTATGTAAAAACTTCATATTTTTTTTTCCACTCGAACAGTGGAGCAAAAAGAAACCTATTATCAACAAGCAGACACTTTGTTCTATTTCTTATTTTATCTTCAATGGAGATGTTTAGGACCAGCACCCACCTTTAAGAAGACAATCCCGTACAGCAGCAGCTTCATATTGAAATCCAGCACTGTTCTTAAAGTTGTATTCTCCATCTTTTAACGGGAATTCCTTGACACCAGATGGCATTCTTATTCTTGTTGGTGACCACAATGGCTGCTCTACCTGCCATAAAATAACATCATTAATTTGTTGAAATTTTAAAGTACAGCATACAGTTACTGTTCTATATGTAAAGAAAATGTGATGTAAAGAAAATGTGTTACAGAAAGTCTACAAAAAAAAGTAAATAAAAAAAAAAAAGTAAATTTGTTGTATCACTATGGAAAATTATTCTTCTTATTTTAGATTTACTTGAATAAGAAAAGCCAGACTGTCAACCAGAGGCATAACATTATACATGTACATCCAAACTTTGTTAGTTCGTAATTGATCTCCATATTATAGATATGTAAAATAGGTCAAAACCCAAACAAGATTAATAATCTGCTGTGACTTAGATATCTAAGCTATGAGCCTTGGCTTTTGCAAGCAAAACCTATGGTGAACATGTATACCAATTAATGATAAAATCCCATCATGCATGCCAAAGTTCTGGACCCGACACAAAAATATATACTTTTTGTAACATGCACACTTATACATAAGCAAACATACATAGACAATATTAACACTATATATCCCTCCTTTTTATGGCAGGACATCAAAACCTGGTTACCAACAACTTAAGAAGTATTCAATCTTCAACACAAACTTCTTAGGAATCATTGATTCAAAAGGACCAGGGAACTATAACAGAACCAGGTCATATCAAATATCTAACAAAAAAATGTGAACATATCTGCACACCTGAACTTTGAACAATTCTTAATCAAACAGTAACAAATACAAAATCAAAACAGACTTCCTGTAACAAAAATATGAAAATTCTTCAATATCGAATAAGCAATAAAGTATCATTCTAAATCTATTTTTGTTGTTGTTGTTTAATTTTGTGTCACATTGATATTTCAATTGTGGGATGGCAACTTTCCAGCTTTCCTGGTGACGGAAGACCTCAGGTTCCTCTTACTGTATTAATTCAAACACAAGTGGGCACTTTAAAAGAAATACATCAACCTTCAATAAGCTAGCCTGATACCTGTCTCACATGAAAGAACTAATTAAATCCATGAAGAGTAAGTAATATATAAAGTCAGCATCTCTGTATACATAAAATACTGGATATTCATATCTTTGGCATTGATCTTACCTCTATTACACCTTTTGTACCGCAGATAACATTTGAATTACTGTTCTCTACAGAAGTGTGATACACCAAATTAGCAATCGCTCCATTTTTGTATTTCAAAATTATACATGCATTCTCATCAGCTCCTGAAAATGTAAACATTGGTTATTTCAATGTTATTTCCATTGCATGTTTTTATATATGCCCAAATTTAAAGGTAAAACTTAAAAACTGTACTTTTTATACAACATATTCCAAATCATCATTTTTTACGTAGTGCAAATACTACATATAATTAATGCTTCATTTGATGGGCTACATGTGACACATGTTGAAAACTAAAAATCTTTTACTAAGTCAATGATACTAAGTCAATGACAAAAACTCTACAAATACTGAATAAATCCAAATACTTTTTGAGCTATGCATGAACAAGTCTATAATTTATACTTAGGCAAGGGCAATAACTCTATAAATACTGAAACTAGAACTGTGTCCAAAGGACACGGATGCCCCCACTGACAACATTTATATGGTATATAGTGAAAAAATTAACAAAGGGCCATAATTCTGTTAAATTTGGTCGCAGCAAAAATTCCTTCCTTTACTGCCATCTACACATTAAGGTTGTTCATCCCTGAAAGTTTAAGCAAAATCTGCCATCCGGTTTAAGAGGAGTTGCATTCACAAAATTTCTATATAGTATATAGTGAAAAAATCAACAAAGGGCCATAATTCTGTTAAATTTGGTCGCAGCAAAAATTCCTTCCTTTACTACCATCTACACATTAAGGTTGTTCATCCCTGGAAGTTTAAGCAAAATCTGCCATCCGGTTTAAGAGGAGTTGCGTTCACAAAATTTCTATATAGTATATAGTGAAAAAATCAACAAAGGGCCATAACTCTGTTAAATTTGGTCGCAGCAAAAATTCCTTCCTTCACTACCATCTACACATTAAGGTTGTTCATCCCTAGAAGTTTAAGCAAAATCTGCCATCCGGTTTAAGAGGAGTTGCGTTCACAAAATTTCTATATGGTATATAGTGAAAAAATCAACAAAGGGCCATAATTCTGTTAAATTTGGTCGCAGCAAAAATTCCTTCCTTTACTACCATCTACACATTAAGGTTGTTCATCCCTGGAAGTTTAAGCAAAATCTGCCATCCAGTTTAAGAGGAGTTTCGTTCACAAAATTTCTACATAGTATATAGTGAAACAATCAACAAAGGGCCATAATTCTGTTAAATTTGGTCGCAGCGAAAATTCCTTCCTTTACTACCATCTACACATTGAGGTTGTTCATCCCTGAAAGTTTAAGCAAAATCTGCCATCCGGTTTAAGAGGAGTTGCGTTCACAAGATTTCGGGACGTACAGACAGACGGACGGACGGACAGACCGACGTACATACGGACGGACAAGTGCAACGCTATATGCTCCCACTCTGTGGGGGCATAAAAATCCACATTCAAACACCCAGGTGCACAACTACAGATGCTGACCAATTTTTCTGTAAAGTTTCATGACTATTGGTCAAATATTGTTTGAGCTATGTGCGACACAAAAGAGAAGGATGGACAGATGGACACGGATAAATCTAAGTGCCCCCCCCCCCCTTCATAAAAATTTGATTTAATCTTTACCCTGCTTGAACTGAAAGTAATTAGCATTTATTACCAGTATAGAGAAAAGCCAGCCTGTACATCCATGCCGACCAGGCTCTATAAACTGTTGGCTGACAAACTTGAAATATTTCATCTTGATGGGCAGTCACTATTCAGTTGTCACAGAAAATTCATTTATATCTCTTAAAGTACTCATTTAGTGCTAATTTTCAACATTTTTTGTTCAATTTCTAACAAAATATAAAAGAATTTTTTTTGAAGTTTCATGAGGAATGATTTACCTCCTTCCATCAAATTTCCTACAGTTGTAATACTTTCAGGCATTTCATTAAAAACCATACATGCAAACTGGATGACATAGACTCCAATGTCAAGTAGGCCACCTCCTCCTAGTTTTAACTCGTAGATTCTCTCAACATGAGATAATGGCACACACATGTTAGCCTGTACCAGTCTGATGTCACCTAGTGTACCAGCAGATACTGCCTGTCTTATTTCATCATACACCGGGAAAAAACGACTCCAGATACCCTGAAAGACAATACCATGTATGTATTGATTTAAGATATAAGAAATGTAATCGAGCAAAAATCTTTTAATTTATTTAGACAACATTAAATGACACTGAAGTTAATATAGCCACTATAGTCACTATAACCTTCCATATCTGAAAATGACAAAATAAAAACTGATGTGTCCAGATGAAAATGATTAATATGACAGTGAAAGTCATTATCTGTTAACCATTTCTGTTTTCTAATATGAATACAGGGAAAGAAATCAAAGTTTTATCCTTCTTCCAGATTTTTATACTTCATAACAGGTGCCAAGTGCTGTGTGGCAGCAGTAAAATGTTTTCATGTACTTCACTTCATTGTTGTTATATTTTTCTGGTCCTAGCTATTCAGGTTTTTCAAAGAAGACTTTTACGTTTTTGCTATACACATATAAGGAAAATCAATGTCCCCCGGGGTGAGACCAATTTTGACCCCAGGGCTTTTATTTGAACAAACTTTGTAGACACTCACTAAAACATGCTTCGTGCTTAATATCTAAACTCTAGCTATTTGAGTTTTTTCAAAGAAGATTTTTTAAAGTTTTTGTTATACACATATAGGGAAAATGAATGACCCCCGGGGCGAGGCCACTTTTGACCCCAGGGCTCTTATTTGAACAAACTTGGTAGACATCCATTAGAACATGTTTCATGCTAAATATCTTAGCTCTAGCTCTTTGGGTTCTTTAAAAGAAGATTTTATAAGTTTTTACTATATGCATATAGGGAAAATCAATGACCCCCTGGGGCGGGGCCAATTTTGACTCCAGGGCTTTTATTTGAATAAACTTGGTAGACACCCATTAGAAGATGTTTCATGCTAAATATTTTAGCTCTAGCTCTTTGGGTTCTTTAAAAGAAGATTTTTTAAGTTTTTACCATATGCATATAGGGAAAATCAATGACCCCCTGGGGCGGGGCCAATTTTGACCCCAGGGCTTTTATTTGAACAAACTTGGTAGACACTCACTAGAAGATGTTTCATGCCAAATATCTAAGCTCTAGCTCTTTGGGTTTTTTAGAAGAAGATAATTAAAGTTTTTTTTTCTTTTGGTTGCCATGGCAACCAGAGTTCTGCATGGAATTAAATTCTTTGAACAATTTTTAAGGTGACAACAGACACTTTCCGTGGTACTCACATAAATGTCCTTTAAACCAAGTTATTTTTGTAATAATTGTTATTCATTTAATCTTTGTGCATTAAATGTCGTTGATCATCATAAAAAATAACATATTTGAAAACTAGAAATGTGTCATCATGCCACGGATGCCCACGCATGCAGCCAAAATTTCAAATGTTATAATATTTAGTTCCAAATTTGTTTGCACAAATTATTTTTTACATTCTAAGTTCAAAGCCCTTAAAACTTTTCAATGTTAACACAAACCATTTTTATACAATGTTCAAGGCACTGAAATTATAATTCAGTCTTAACCTTTTAAAAATAGCATATTGCATATTTGTAGCCAACATAATGGCTATATACATTTCCACAAAAGTATGAGTGCTGAAACTGAAAGTTCAAAATTTTTCCAACATTCAGGAAAGATAAGTTTGTCTAAAATCATTGAACCACAACCAAATTCAAACTTAAACTGCTTATTCCTAAGATGTATCTATATAATTTTCAAAGTGAAAGGGACATAACTCTGCCAAAAAATCATCGAACCATGACCAAATTCCAACTTGACCTGCGCATTCCTTTGACATATCCATATGTCAATTTTGAGTTGAATATGTAACACTGTTGGGTTGATAATAAACAGAAACTGTAAATTTCATATCATTTTTAAAGTGAAAGGGGCATTACTCTGCCAAAGATCATTGAACCATGACCAGATTCGAACTTGGTCTGCGCATTCCAAAATCATATCCATATGTCAAATTTGAGTTGAATGTGTAATATTGTTGGGGAGATAATAAACGGAAACTGAAAATTTCATATCATTTTTAAAGTGAAAGGGGCATAACTCTGCCAAAAATCATCGAACCATGACCAAATTTGAAATTGACCTGCGCATTCCTTTGACGTATCAATATGTCAAATTTGAGTTGAATGTTTTATACTGTTGGGGAGATAATAAACAGAAACTGAAAATTTCATATTATTTTCAAAGTAAAAGGGGCATAACTCTGCCAAAAATCATCGAACCATGACCAAATTTGAATTTGACCTGCGCATTCCTTAGACGTATCGATATGTCAAGTTTGAGCTAAATGTGTTGTACGATTGGGGAGATAATGAACGGAAACTGAAAATTTCATATTATTTTCAAAGTGAAAGGGGCATAACTCTGCCAAAATCATTGAACCATGACCAAATTTGAACTTGACCTGCGCATTACTTTGACGTATCCATATGTCAAGTTTGAGTTGAATGTGTTGTACCATTGGGGAGTTAATGAATGGAAACTGAAAATTTCATATTATTTTCAAAGTAAAAGGGGCATAACTCTGCCAAAAATCATCGAACCATGACCAAATTTGAACTTGACCTGTATTTTCTCATGACATATCAATATGTCATGTTTGAGTTGAATGTGTTGTACTGTTGGGGAGATAATGAACGGAAACTGAAGATTTCATCTTATTTTCAAAGTAAAAGGGGCATAACTCTGCCAAAAATCATCGAACCATGACCAATTTCGAACTTGACCTGTATTTTCTCATGACATATCCATATGTCAATTTTGAATTGAATGTTTTGAACCGTTTGGGAGATAATGAACGGAAACTGAAAATTTCATATTATTTTCAATGTAAAAGGGGCATAACTCTGCCAAAAATAATCAAACCATGACCAATTTCGAACTTGACCTGTATTTTCTCATGACATATCCATATGTCAAATTTGAGTTCAATATGTGCAAGGGTTATTAAGATAATGAACGGAAACTGATGATGACAGAAGGACGGAATGACGGAATGACGGAACAGGGTAACACTATATGCCCCTGCCATTATATGGCGGGGGCATAAAAATGCCTTTGTAAATGATTGATTTTGAATAAAAATCCTAAAATTTTAAATCGTCATATCAAAGTCATTTTTTATTTTTTTGTCATCAAACTTTTGGAAAATAACCATACTTATATTATCTGGGGAACCGTGTCTCAAATTTTTTATATCTTTTCTCAAAAAAATATTACGTAACGTCAAACATTTTATGCGACTTTTTTCACCATACATATTACGTAATTAAAGATAATTAAGTCGCTGATTGAGCAAACAAAAATCCCTGACAAGGTTCCCTCCGTAAATGAATTTCCTTTCATGTGCTTTAAACCGCATGTTAATTGCTTGATTATTAAAAAAGTTATGCCGATTCAAAGTTAGTCCGACCCGCATCAAACGAAGTGTCATAAATCGGGTGTTCTCTCTCGGAACCCTACGTTTCACGCTAAATAATTGCATAATACACAAATATCGCACCAGGGAGGGTCACAAGTTGCGGTAACATACTCTAACAACATTTTATGACCCAGTGACATCTGACCAATTAAAAAGCTGCTGATTAATATCAGTTTATAGCCGAAATTTCTTCAATTCTTAACGTGATTTACTGCCCGTCTGGTATCTGTCGCACATGTCACGTGACTATCGGCAAAATTTGAGGCAGTCAGTGGGGGCAAATGGAACGCATTTGCGCACCGCTAGCGGGGTATTTAATTGTTTCCTATTTGAAGTTTATTATTATTATCATCAGCATTATTATTGTATTATACCAGTGTCACTCTGCCTGTGTATTCGTGTATGAAATTCCGTTAAAATATAAAATAAAATAACAAAAAACTGAGCTTCTGACAGTCTTTTAAAGTCCATGGTAGATGTACAAATAAGAACGGGATAGTATATATTTTTTCCACCAAATTGATAATGCTTCACATATTTTAATAGAAATAAAAGGTATTACTTGATCATTATTATGTGGCCTTCTTGACTTCTATTATCATGAATATCATCTATGCACGGCATAGAGATCCAGTTTCTACCGGGATAGACAATTAATTTCATACTTTGTCCCAGATTTATTAGTCCTGTGTCGGATTTACTGGCGAACAATTTATTTTCACTGAGAATTTATTTTAATATCTTTTTTTATTCATAGAGAAATAATCATCCTTAGACAATCTAAAATGGTTTAGAAAAAGTTGTCAGGGACACCTTACTACAAGTCATATAAGCGTTCACATAAAAAATGTCGTCTGTTGTTGTTTTACTTGACATTGTTAGAAAACGAGGTTGAATGTAAAGTAAGCCCTTGAATCCGTACAAAAGTCTATCAACTCAATGTAATATATATCAGATTAACGGGGCAGACAAATTATTTTCACACATTATGGATATTTTAGCAACTACATTTTAATCAACCCCGTGGTCGTGCGATTTGCCGCTATGCTTAATTATTTATGTTTCATACATTATGTTACGTACATTGGCCGACAATTTCTTAATTTATAAAAAAGGCTTTATGTTGAGATATTCATAAAAGATGTACGGTAGATGAACGATACATGTATTACGAGAAGCATGGACCAGAATGGACCTGTAATTCACGGATATATGGAACTACCGATTTCCCTCATTGATGCCTCAACAGGGGGCGGAGCGTTATCGATAATCGACAGGTTACGCGAATAGCAGATACAAATAGTATAGGTACCGTTTTAAATCGTTTAAAAACACATTTTTTGGACTAACTGCTTCCAAAATTAAATCACGAATGTGTTCAGAAAAGGTTGATAAATCTACTTAGCAAAAAATCTCATTTTAGGTATTTTCAGTGATAATTGACTCCGTTGTCATCTTAAAGGTGACCACCAAAGGATGGACGACGGACGAAAAGCGATCACAAAAGCTCACCCTGTCACTCTGTGACAGGTGAGCTAAAAAGTAAAAGATTCAAGTAATAATTTCTATTTAGTGTGTGATTTATGACCAATTTTGCAGTATTTTTCACCAGATTTCTCCTGCTTTATGCAGCACATTTTTGACTCCTTTTTGTTGATTGATATGGGTTGTAATTGCTGTTTGCAATGTGAAAATTATTATCTTCATTCCAGTATTTTACTTTTTTATGCATATTTTAAATTTTCAACAAATTAAGCATGTATCTTATAATCTGGAGGCATGCTGCTTTAACAAAAAAAAAATTCACTATTCTCAACAAAAAATAACCTTACCTACCTCAACAAAAAGAAGTTTTCTGGATTTCGCAAAGTCTATAACTTTTTTTGCCTGTTTGTAGTTCATGGCCATGGGTTTCTCACATAAGACATGTTTTCCTGCTTCCAACATTTTCATAGACAACTCTGCATGTGTTATATGTATTGTACCAATATAAACAATCTCTGGAAAAAACATGACATTGTATAGTCACATAAAGTAAAATGATAAAAAGTATATAATATTCATCAAGAAATAAACATACAAATATTTAATTTTTTAGATTGTTTGATTATTTTAAGCCAGGTACCAGGTTTCATTTCATTGTAAGTCTGTGTTCCAAGATGCCCACATACAATAGTATTTTAGCCCAAAATATTTGTTCTCTGGTACTTTAGAAATCAAATGATGAGTAAAATATTTCAAAAATTTTGTTGCATATCTATTACAGAGAGAACATCACTTAACTATTCTCAATGCTTTATAATAAACTTCAAGACAGGCCATAGTTCATTCAAAATTAATACTGAGAGTAATGTGGGCTTTTGAAAGTGATCCTGAAGACATGTATTAAGTTTCAAGTGGACACCATAGTGGTTTTGACAATAGACAAGAAGATTTTAGTCCACATTTACACAAAGGACCATATTTCAGTCTAAATCCATGCCAAAGTCATGGACCTTGGATAGAGACTGAGTGACCTTTAATTTTGATGACAAGTGCTGAATTTCAGTTAAAACTTTCATTGGTTTGAAGATTGATGTTGTATGTAAACTTTAACCAAGAATTTTTTACAAAGGAACATTATTCTGTCAAAATCCATGCTAGAGTCATTAGCCTTGAGTAGTAACTGTGTGAAGTGACAAGCTAATATCTATAGTGATTGATGGGATATAATATTATCGAGTGGAGAAATATACATGTCAGACATTTCATAGAGATTTTAGGGTGACTAAAATTTAGCTTTTACGATCATGTAGGGCAAAGTGAAAATATTTATGGCGAAGTTTATGTCTGACTTCGCCCTGAACGCAGTCCCTGATATGTTGTAAAGGCAAAAGCACATGAAACTTTAACCACAGTCTTGCACTGACCTCAATGCCCTGTTGAGAAGTAAAGTATGATAGTCCCTCAATTTTTCTTTGAGGAACCCTAGCATTTATTGAACCTGAAATCCTGTCCCACTAAAGTTATTGGTCAACAGCAAATTTTGTCTTGTTCATGGTAACAATGTCATAAAAAGTTAATCATGTCAAAAAAAGATCATAATATTAAAGACCATATTATTATGTACACTTATACAATATCCAACCTTATTTACAAGTATGTACATTTGAATAAGCTAATATCATACCAACATCTTTGTCTTTTGCCACATCATCATATGATGAATATGCCCTCTTAAACTTGTACTTATCAGCAAACTGCTGTGACTTTGACTGATCCCTCGATGCAACTGCAATAAACTATCAAAACCAACATTAATGTACATGTTTTTCAACATTTTAACACAATTATGTTGTATAAAGTTTTGTAATTGCATGCTACCAATTCTTGGTTCAGTGCAACTTCAGTCATACAACTGTGAGTAATCTACATACAATACATATTGCTATATGGATTAACAAACTGAACTGCTCTGTTAAAGCCAACTTTTGCTCATAAAAATAATCATGTTAATAGTGTTTGTCAAGTATATGTACATGGTATTCAACCATGTCCTCAGTCACACAAACTTCAAACCATAGGTTTGAGCAGCCTTTATGGTTTTCATATTTTTAAAAGCAATGTTCTAACAAAAGAGCTTAAAAATATGACTATGTTGTAGCAAATGTTGCAACTTGAATGTTGTTGGTCTTGTTGCACTGACCTCAATACCTCGTTGAGAAGTATAGTAGGATAGCCCCTCAATTTTTCTTTGAGGAACCCTAGCATAAATTGGTCATTACCACCCCACCCCCCACTCGCAGACATCCTGACCTCAAAACACTGTCAAACACTGCATGTCTTCAGTCAAATGACTACATGTATATAATGTGTAAGTGTCTATACTCAGGTCATGCTGGCCAATGCCAAAGCTCTGGGGACTTAGATAGTTCTCTTTCTTTGAATAGTCGAGATAATAAAAACAAGAGCCGGTTTAAGCGGATGATGCTCACTGAATAGGTTTTGATCACAGAAAAGAATACCTTTTGTAGTTTTAGAGTTATGTCCCAAACAAAGTTTCAAAGTGCAATAATTCCAAATTAAGCAAGGCAGAGTTACTGTTCTTTGCACTGCACTTCTACTAAATGAGCTATATTTACCTACAAAGTTTCATGCTAATAATAGCAGATATCTATTATGGTTTTGGTGTAATGTCCCTGACAAAGATCAAAGCGTAAAAATGAACAAAAGGCAATTTATCCAAAATAAGGCAAGGCAGAGTTTTGGCTGCACTTCTACCCAATGAAATCTATGTACCTACAAGATGTTATGTTGTTATCTCTTATAGTTTAAGAGTAATGTCCAGGACAAAGTTCAAAGTGTAAAAATGAAAAAAGGGTAATAACTCCAAAATTAGGAAAGGCAGTTATGGCTCTTTTGCACTGCACTTCTACCCAGCAGATGTGGACAGACAAATGGACAGACAAAGCCGCAACTATATGCTCACACTTTCGGGAGCATAAAAGGTAATTACTTTTCAATATACAAGTCCTGTATTACATTTATATTATAGCACTTTAATCAAAGGATAAAAAGTTCCTATTTTAACATTTAAACAACAAAGATAATCTTTACCTCATGTTCAGAAGATGGAAGATTTTCTTGTATAGCATTAAAGAAGTCTGACGATATTTTTCCAGGTCCAAGACAAGCCCATCTTGTTGCCATTTTTAAAGATCAGTGTGCCAACTTTATTAACCTGTTACAGAAGTATATTAACCATTCGCCCCACTGAAGATTAGCCTCACAAAGTCTTGCCCCACTTAAGTGATGATTTGCCCCACTTAATTCAGGCTTCGCCCAACCTTATATTTAACATTCTTAATTCTAATTTGATTGAAAAATTCGGTTTGGGTATTTCTTGCATTTTTATGGTATACTTTTTATCGATAACAATTGATTTGGAGGTAGAAAGAATAAGGAAAATATCAGTTCAACATAACTAACAATTACTAATTCCATTTGTATATGTTTTACTCAACTGAGTTATCAATAATAAATTAGATTAATGTTATAAATAAATGATGATTGTTTAATTTACTCATATCTATTCGTTTCTTAAAAGCAGATTGCAGTCTGCAAAATAACTTTTTTAGATCATAGGCCATTTGGGCCTTCAACCCAGACAGAAGCATAAGCCCGGACAGAATATTACTGGCCCAAAACATTTATTGTGCAAAAATAAAGACAAAAGTTTGTTTTATGTTTTATTCATATCATTAAGGTTCAATTTATTCACAGAAAATCAGTCAGCCACTTTTCAATAAAATTCTCATTTTCTGTTCTTATATATAATACTCAAAATTAATCGTCAATCTACTGCTTTCCTGTCTTTATTTGTTTAAAACATGAAAACAATATCAACAAATGAAGCATTGCATTCAATGAACAAATCTCCTATTTAAACACAACCAATCACTAGTTTCACTTCAGATGTTTAAATTAGCAGATTCGTGTTTGTTGTTGTCAATCTAAAATAAATTAATTCTTCAACAGAAATTTACCATAACTTGTTCTTTAACCCGCGAACATTTATGATTATACTCAAGCAAATGAATATTTAGAGTAATCAGTTTTCGTTTGGACTTGTTGGAATGCATGGAGATGGGATGTTCTAGATGATCTTGTTAGAGGGATGATATACCCCCGAGTCAGCTCGACCCAATTCCAACTTGGCACGGGTCAACTCGGCCCACTTTTCAATGATTAATATTTAGGTTTGTGTTAACACTATATATTGTAATTATTTATAATACATGGATTGACAGTTTCGAACTAGCAGCAGACAAGCTTTTCTTATCAGTAGAATTGCGAGTAAAGATAAACCATTGCGTATCTCACTGTATTTCTACATATTTAACTTCTGTTCTGTTCTTTATTACTTTAACTAGATACTGCACAGACAAAGTATTTCTATTTGATGAAGAAAAAAATCGTATGACATGTGCAAATGAATTTCGGCAGCAATCAATGCGCTTATACGGAAGATTTAATTAGAATCTTATGATATTAAATAAACACGTTTTTGTTTCATATTTTTCAAAATATGACTTTACAAACACATTTTATTAGAATCTAGATCTATATTAATTTTATCGAAACTGCAAGACAGATAAATAACATTTTTTCTCAATATACTTTATTTCAGAAGAAGTACAATGTATAATTATTAATAATAAATTTTTCTTATTATTCATTTCCCTTAACAACATGAAAACAAAGTTAATATTTTATAATATTTTTGTAAAGGGGGCCCAGGACCCTTGCCGAGTTTTTATGGGGCCATTTATTTCTTTCCTCAGTGACCCTGACATACGTCAAAATTTTGTATCAATTTAAATCTCAAGAGCAATGTCAATTATATTGTAATGGTTCAGATGACTAAAAGAGATTGATCGTAATTCATGTCTGGGTTAAAAGAAATATACCGGAAAGAGAGAAATCATATGCGATCGTTCTATTTAATCTATGACTGACTGCAAATGGCGGACTGTTATCTAAGGGGAATAATTATGTTACTCTGACTAACGTAAAAAGAACCACCCGTCGTGATTTGTAGATGAACCGTAAGTCGTCGCTTTTGCCAACATATTTGTCTCCAAACGGGGAAAGTGACAAATATTTATTTCATATTTTGTCTAAAATTAAACCTGCACCCTTGTTGTAGATATATAATGTATTTATAAGTGCAAGCTTTCATTTTCATCTACATTAGCCATGTATCAGTCCTGAATGTTCCAGTTTGAATTTATATTTTCTATGTTTCTACTAGTCTAATTTTCCTCAGTTCCTTCCTCTGCTTTTCTATAACACTTATGGTAGTGGCAGATGCAGCTGAGCAATATTTCTATAATCAAACTCAGTTGATGCCTCTGTGTCATTTAATTATGTTACATTCTGAGTCTGTCAACTTGAAATCGCTTAATTAACTCGTTTTGCTTTCTTGACAATTTCTTTCTCTTGCTTGATTTCCCTTTTACCTTTTTTATTTTCAGCCTTATGTCTTTCTTCTTACGTATCTCTTCTTTTTTCGCCTCTAATGCTACCTTTCCTTCTATCCTTTTCAGCTTGTTATTTCTGGACGTTTCTTCCATTTCTTTTCTTATGTTATCTTTTTCAATCAGTTCTTCTTCGACTTCATTGGTCGTTAGAATCCGCCTTTTATTTTCCCCTTTACTACCGGAAGCAGTTTTGCACTTAGCATCAAATGTTGGCGTGACCAAGACATTTGGAAGATCATCTGAAGTTAGCCCGGGTGCATTTTAATCGTCTCTTGAGGCGATTTCTGCTGTATACATGACATGGCCGTCGTGCTTTCAGAGACAACCCTTTCTAGTTTCCTAGCAAAAAGAATTTCATTTTCTTGTTCAGTTGGTCCAAGGGCAACAACTTTTTCCTTCAAGACCTGCTACAAAGGTGATGTCATCAAACATGAAACCGTGGTTGTCTGTAGGACTAGAGCATGTAGAGAGCACACTGTTTACTTCAAATGGATTATGCTGCGTCTTCGATGCCACTGGGCAACCTTTTCTAAAGGTGTTGATGCCATAGGATGTGTGTGACCAATGCACCAAGTCATATAGTCAGACTTAACGTTGGAACTGTCAAATTTAATATTTGTTTGTTAAAGGCTATGATAAAATAGACATCTAATTACAAAGAAATTTGGCTATATCGTGCCTTTTCATTTATATCATAGTTCCCGTTATTAGGATTGAGAAGAATAAATTTAAAAAAAAAATATACAAATTGTGGTAACTGTAACTCGTCAATAGGGTCCCGGAGTCGTCAATGACTTTCTATGTCAAAAGCTATTTAATCAAAGGGAGCTCACTGCTTAAAAATATTTAATATGCCAGAACATCAACACGTGTTTACTTTGATAATCAATCGTCTGCATGGTACAGAATACCAATTCGCCACAGACCCCTGAATTTTAGTGTTGTCGTCGACCACAGGAACTTGAAATTCTATCAAACATTTTTATACTGTATAGGGGGTATATTTTGGATATTTTAATATTGATAGAATTTCAAGTTCCTGTGCGTCGACAGAGTAGAAGAAAGGCTTGTTTTTTGGGATGAATATTTTATGGTCATATGCGAGAACGATAATTATGTACTTACTGGATATAAAATACAAACCATAATATAAATAAACTGTTAACCTTTCAAAAAATACCCGAACGAAAACTTTCGGCTCACGTGATCGAAAGGGAGACAACAAAATAAAAACATGACGAGTTACGGACGCTGACGCGTTACGGTTCTTTTACTCAGTCTGCACTATTGGGTAAATTGCATTACATTTGGGGCTTTTAACCTCGCACAAGTAAGTTATATTCGAAAAAAACGAAAGTTCTACTGTACATACCGCTACCACGTGGTGGTGGTGGTGGTAGTTTTTACTAGCAGTAAATCAGCGTACCATCGCGTTTTCACTATCGTGACATCGCGTTTACCCCATCGTACCATTGCGTTTTCACCATCGTACTGCATGTACTGGTCATCGCGTTTTCACCATCGTACCATCGCGTTTTCACTATCGTACCATCCTGCATCGCGGTAACAGACTAAATTAAAAATCACGACTGTTCAAACGGAAAACCGTAGTATTGAAAGGTAAACTCATTCATTATGTTTGAAACTGTTTATGGCGGTAACGAGGCTCTCCCGAGTTTCCCCAAAAGCTAGATATTCCGGTCTGTTACGGCAGCCGGCGATTGACTCTTTTTCTACCATATAACATAGAAATCATATTTTGGATGAAATTACGAAAAGCTAATATTTTTATGTAGCACTTTTTTCTTATAGGAGCTTATGAATTTACAACTTCATTCATAAGGCAAAATGACGCCATTCTAAGGACGCAATTCATTCATAAAGGCGCGCGGGAATGACGTCATTTACATTTGACATGCTACTTGTCTTAGACCACCACTGTGAATAGAAGATAATTATGTCTGATATGCAAGAAAATCCTGTCCCGTGTAACCCAAATTAATCCATTTTATGGTCATTTATCAATCAAGATACCGTTAAACTTTATATTAAGAGATTTTATTAAACCAAGGTATCAAATTTATTTTGGTATGTAAATGACTACTACAGTAGTATCATCTCTGCCTATTAGCCATCTTGGGGCGACTAAGCATATTAAGTATGTTTTTGCGCTTATAAATAAATTATAATGAAATATCATACTAACAGCCTCCAAAGCATGCAAGATAAAAAAAAAAGTAATGGGATTTATATGACTAGATATATGTAAAGTGACACATTAAAACGTTAGATCTAACATTTTTATAATTATCATCATCATCATATCATCGTCATTATTATTAATTATAATTATTTCATGATTAATTAATATTGAACACCAGAGATTCATAATGTTCCCGATTATATGAAATCAATTCTTGTTAAACTATGATTAAACTAGCTTTTTTCTTTGTACTGCCACAAATTTATAATTGCTATATTCTGTGCATTAGATAAGCTTTCACATATATTTTCTGTTTGTATTATATCTAAGAAAAACTAATTTAATAACCGTGAAACTTTACTATATTATAATTATACGGCATGTTTTAAATAACAGGCCATTATTTACAATAACCATAATAAACAACATTGACGGGCCTCCTGTATATCAGAAGAAACGGAAATAGCCGAGATCATCCGGATAATAATTACAGCCAATCAAATTCGTTTCACACACACGTTGCAAGACGAAGGGCAAAGACCGACCAATTAGCCGTAAATATACTCTCTTTACGGCATAATCCGAAATTATTTCGATTTTTTTTATTACCAATATTGTAGGAAATGTCTAATATATTAATAAGCATTACTATATGAAACTGAAAAATTGATAATATATTCGTTATCCTTTGCACTGATTTTGAACTTTTCCGAAGCACCTGTTCAATTAGGCACAAAATGGCCGACTTTCCAAATATGGAAATTGATATGATTAGGTTGCCATGGTTTAACCAATCAGTGCGACCTCTTTGATACTTTTGGCCAATCAGAATCTACAATTTTGAACATGTTTCAATTCTTTGTTATAACCGACTTACTACGAATACTACAACTTCCTGTGAAATATTTTGATATATTTTCAAAAATATTTTTTCAAAACCTTATTTCTGATACAGGATTAATGACAGTTTACCAAGTGACAAGCATAGTTTGTATTGATAAAAGGATGATACGTATTATTGTGGAAAATTAACGCAGGTTAGTGTTTTATTTCACTTGTATAAAATGTACATGTTTCAAGCCAATTTATGATGTTTTTCACCTGTATCTCTTGAATCAAAATTATTTGTATTTGTTTGCATGCCCTGGCTTATTTTTCTTTTATTGCACAACATTGTAAATTTAAAGTTTGGTAACTTTTCTGTGCATTATCAAATGAATGGAAGGGGGCTTGTTTCAAAACGTTTGTTAGGGAGTCCACAAAGTAATGGTTGGAGCCCATTGAGGGATGTTTTTTCCCTATTAATAACTGATAGTTTGTTAACCTGAGCATGTGCTAAAAGTCATGCCAGGAGGACTGCTTCCTGGGTTTCGTACCCAGTTACCACACCAGTGTTAATTGTGGAAGGAGATTTTGATCCTAGTGGAATTTGGTATGGGAGTATTCTTGATATTTTGTTTGCAAGACTGACCAATTTTACAAATTGATATTACATACATGTCGTTTTTGCGAAGGGCAGCCATCCTCTTTATGATATGAAGCCCTGGCGCACAATTTGCTGGACAGAACTTGGTAAGGGGTTCAACTCGGCATGGGTCATCTCTGCCCTCTAATAAATTTTTCATTTTTAATGAGTAAACAACTATAAAACTAGAGTTGCGATCAGTAACGAACAGTAATTGAAAAGGTCTGCAGCATATTGTTAAGATATTATCTTTTTTTAGAAGACATCCAGATAACATGCTCTAGAATTAGGACAGTTGCAAATAGCAAAAGTAATTGACGGCTATATATATATACTATATATATCTCAATTTTATATTTAAACTCAATTCCTGCTAAATCAAGACTTAAAATCATGTTAAAGCCATCCACGATTCTCATAAAAGATTTTCAAATTAGGGCCATATGTCATGACAAAAATGTAGCATGTTATTTGCATATAAATGTTGTTCATTTGCTATTTTTAGAACCTAAAAAAATAAATATGATGACAGCTATGGATTTCCTGCCAAGTGACCTTGAGCACATGAATACTAACTTTCTGGACATGATTGAGAATGAAGCAAATGCTCAACAGATTTTGGATATTGAAAATCTCAATTCAGACAAATTAAATGATATTCTGAATGAGGATCTCATTCATGATACCCCGTCCATGGACTTTGAAGATGATATGAACAATTCTAATTGGTTCCAAAGTCTTCAGTGGAATGATACTACAAAAGTTCCTCAAAGTTTGATCGATGCTTCAAATGAGGTGGAGAATAATAATCCAAATTTGTTAGTTGATCCACAAAGTGTTCTTCCTATTCATTCTACGCCACAGGTGCAGAAGTCTAACACACAGCAAATGAATCAGATTAATACATGTAATGGAATAGCAGTGAAAATAAATGGACAGGATGCTGTTCTTACACCAACACAACATCCACAGATTCAGTATGTTACAGTTCAAAATGTTGTGTCAATAAATAACCAGCAAGTAGGATATACCGTCCAACCTATTACAATATGTCCTCAACAAAACATTCAAAATGTTGGAACTGTAACATCTCCGTCATTGACATCCCCGGTTCTGGTCGAACACTTACAGAATGGAATGCAGCTTGTGAACAATAATAACAATAATAAAGTTGCATCACAACAAAGACAACCAGAAAAAGTGTATCCAAAACCTGTGTATTCATACAGTTGTTTAATAGCTATGGCCTTAAAGAACAGTCGTACCGGGAATTTACCTGTCAGTGAAATCTACAATTTTATGATGTAAGTATAAATGATAATGCTATATTTACTAAAAAATGGACCTCTGAAATAAATGATTATGGGACCACTGATTAAAAAGGATATTTTTATTGCTGGCAATTTTGAAATGCACTAATTTGTATTCAAATAATATTATAAGCAAAAACATATCAATTCAGACATGGAATTTTATTTAGATATTCCTTGTAATGACTAGGTGGTTTTTTTTGTGTTTTTTTTTTTAAGTTTTCTAAGGATGTTTGATATAAATCTGATATGACTTAATTTCAGTACATAGTCTTTCATTTTATTTGCAAAAAAAATATTGAACATTTGATGTGACAGTGATTGAAATATCATAGTCATAAGGCAAAAGAGGTTGATAGTTAATTAAGCTATTAAGATGCTGTCAGTATTGCCCATCTGTCTCTGTAATGATGAATCATAGTAGGGGTCCCTGATAACAAGGCAATTAACACATCAACATGTGATGTCATAAACCAATTATCACTTACTTGGCAGACTGATTAAATCTCTGTGATTGACAGGTTGTTTATTTATAGATTATATATTGACTTATTAAAGTTGTCTAATAATGTTTTATGAGCAAGATTTAAAGTTTCAGTTTAACTGTTATGTTCAGTAAATAATGACACTTTCACAATAGCAACATTTTTATTGGAAAAGTTCATTCATGAAGATCTATGAATTATAGAAGTGGCAAATGCTGATAATATTTAGGGAGCTTTTATCTGAAATCTTTATAATAGTTATTGAGCAATTAAACCTGTGCATGTATCGTTGGGTTAAAATATAAGAGATAAAATGAGATTTATGAAATTCATGAATAAAATGTCCTGTTTTTCATTTTAAGGCATTATCAAAATCACAGCAGTTTATACAAGTGTTTTTGATCCCTTATATCATCATTAAGTCAGGTATTAACTTGGAATGTGTGAAAAGGAATGCACAATATACATAGTTAATTGAAAAATATGTCAAGTAGCCAAAATATTTACACAAGGATCTGAGAGTTGGAATAAACATATAGATTAGGTATGAAAGACAATATTGATGACTGATTGTTGTGTACAATGTACTGTTACTACTTGTGCCTGAGGCCAATGTGTGAAGGGAATATTTTATAATTTTGCTTTTGATGCATATTTTTCATAAAGATTAGATTTGATTAGACAAAGATCGACATGCAGTGGAATGTTGATTTTGCCAATGGCTGTTAAAAAAGGAGATACATATTGATATATACAGTCATACTTGTGTACATGTGCAAGTTTGGCTTATTAACATAAAGGCCCATTATGCCTAAGAAATGGTTTTATTTTATTTCTCAAAGTTTTTTTTAATTTTGGTGTATTTTCATAATATCCAAAAAGTTAATTGGCCAATTACCTGAGCCATCTTTATCATTCTTTATTTACAGTATTTTGTATGGAGGTCAATGTACTACATTGTTTACATTTTTGCTACTTTTATGACAGATTATTTTACATTTATCGCTCCTTGACCTTCAGGTAACAAACATCTAACATTGTCTAAAACCATTATTTAAACATTATAAAATTCATGTTTCATGATGTTTGTGCCCTTTCTAAAGAAGTAAAAAAAATTGAGACATAATGTGCCTTTAAATGATTGTCAAGTCTTCCAGGTCTGTGGTCAGTTAAACTAAGAGGTAGATGTAAAGCTTCTTTAAAATAATTTATCTCTTTATAACATAAAAATATAATAAATAATGCCAATCTTTGAATGGTTCACTGTTGATTTTATTGGAATGCTTTTAAAAGCCTTTTAAAAGAATTTCATTATTGTATGGCATTCATTGACTATAATAATTTGATGACAGAGTTATACACCAGTCATACTGTAACTAGTCTCCCTTACCCAAGGAAAGGTTACCTTCTGTTGTTCCTCACTGTGATTACTGGGTCAATTTTGGCACCATACTGGCCGTGAATATGTTCAGCATGCTGTATTCTCAGCTCAGCATTTATCTGACTGTGGGATCTATTTACTGTCACTAGCTGGCTGTTCTTGCTGGACCTGGTCTTTATCAAAAGTTTGAAGATCCCAAGGAGGGTTCTGGGCCATGTTTACAATTGACAGTATTTAAAAATTGTTTTTCAATATCCCAATTCTTCCTTTCAGTGATAATTTCCCATATTTCAAGACTGCCCCAGATGGATGGAAGGTGAGTTATACTAAGTTTTCTGTGCACAATAATTATGATTATTATAGAAAAAATAAATAATACAGATTCTTATAGCAAACAGAAACAGTGATTAATTTTTTTTTTATTGTTTTTTTTTCAAAAACAATTACCTTATCTATAAATTGGAGAATGTTTGTGTATAACCATCTAGGTAAATTAGGGAAATTTAACAAGGTTGACCGAAATGTTCCCTTTTTCTTTTATTAAACCAATGATCTGTATAAATTATATACTAGTTAATGGTCCTACTGAAAATATATTCCTCTCCTAATTGAGGCTATAGTTAATTTTAAATATATTAATTTTAAAATTTTGAACAAAGGATAGTTATTCTTCCAACATCAAAACAATTCAAAGTATCTTTAAAGCAATTAATTGCACCTGTTGCTTTTACCTGTCTGTAAAAACAGTATGGTTATGTGACATTGAAGGGCCAAACAAAGACCACTGAGTGTAATCATGTACGAACATCACATATTTACACAGACGCCATATGGTACTAGATCAATACATGGTGTTTTCTTTCATAAATAGGGATCATTTGACATTGTGTTGTGGTCTTTTGTATCCCTGAAAATAATTGTAACAATACATTTCATTGGTATATTTATTTAGTTTCCATGGCAATCATTGAATTTAAAATCTATAAATGTAATTTGAAAAATGCTCATATAAAAAGAGATGAAAGAAATTTTGAATTTTCATTGTATGGTTATCAAATTGATAAATTTTCTTTATTGTAATGTGTTTGAATTTAAACAAGTAGTGGTTAACAATGAATGCCTTAGGTTAATATGTATAACAGATTTATCTCCCGTTAGTGACTTTTTAGATTAATGTAAATCAATGTTTTAGAGGTTTTAAGATATATCTTGTCCTTGATAAATTATGATAATGATTGCGTAATATTCAAATAGCATGGAAGCGCATCATTTAGACAAAAATGTTTTGTTACTTGCTTATACAGTAAAATGAAATTTGAATGTTGAGTGCACTTGGTGATGAATAGGTGCAAAAAATGGTTAAAACAGCATGATTATAAAGGATTTATTCTTAAGTTAAACCCGGCTAAGCTAAATTGTGTCATTATGGCTGAAGATTATTCTTGACAAGATTAGATTTTTTTGATTGTAACTCAATATTAGTAAACATGCTAACTGTTTATACATAACTTATATGTCTACATTCTGTTCATTGTGATTTATTTGTTTTACTAGAACTCTGTTCGACACAATCTGTCACTTAACAAGTGTTTTGCTAAGGCTCACGATGGTAAGGCTAACGGTACGCACACCAGGAAGGGCTGTCTATGGGCACTGAATCCTGCAAAGATAGAGAAAATGGAGGAAGAAATTGTTAAATGGAGGAAAAAGGACCCAGAATCTGTCAAACTTAGCATGTCTAAACCAGGTAAATATGCCACCATATATTAAAATTGAGGTCATTTAAATCGGGTTAAACAGTATATTCTTTTAATTTACAGGCTTTACACTATAAGGTTGTCACATTGCTACATCATAAGAATTAAAGGGATCATTGGATATAAGTTGTTACTTCGTTAATTATGTCTTATGAATAATAGTTGGTAAATTTATACATTACAGTCTCTGAGTCTGTATCATAATTATGTAAATTTAATGACAAATTTTGGCCTGTCCCTGACATAAATGGCTTCACCCTTACTACTTGTTGAGTTTGAATCCTTTTATGTACTTAGGGTCCCTTTACTTGAGAAACATTCCTTTATAAGAGAAACCCATCCAGCTAGTATGCTTATGAACGTTGATGCACTAAGGAGCAAGAGTACATCTTCCAAGGAAATTCTATAGGTCTAGGTTCTTAGTTTAAACTCATTTATTATGCCCCTCTTCGAAGAAGAGGGGGTATATTGTTTTGCTAATGTCGGTCTGTCTGTCGGTCCGTCCGTCGGTCTGTCCGTCGGTAGACCACATGGTTTCCGCTGATTATCTTGAAAAGTATTTATCACAAAGTCTTCATATTTCACACAGTGATTGGTCATAACTAGTAGATGACCCCTATTGATTTTGGGGTCACTAGGTCAAAGGTCAAGGTCACAGGGGCTTTAAATGTCAAAATGGTTTCCGCTGATTATCTTGAAAAGTATTCATCACAAAGTCTTCATATTTCACATAGTGATTAGTCATAACTAGTAGATGACCCCTATTGATTTTGGGGTCACTAGGTCAAAGGTCAAGGTCACAGGGACCTTAAATGTCAAAATGGTTTGCGCTGATTATCTTAAAAAGTATGTATCACAAAGTCTTCATATTTCACACAGTGATTGGTCATAACTAGTATATGACCCCTATTGATTTTGGGGTCACTAGGTCAAAGGTCAAGGTCACAGGGACCTTAAAATGTGAAAATAATTTCTGCTGATTATCTTAAAAAGAATTCATCACAAAGTCTTCATATTTCACATAGTGATTGCTCATAACTAGTAGATGACTCCTATTGAATTGGGGTCACTAGGTCAAAGGTCAAGGTTACAGGGGCCTTAAATGTCAAAATGATTTCCGCTGATTATCTTGAAAAGTATGTATCACAAAGTTTTCATATTTCACATAGTGATTGGTCATCACTAGTAGATGACCCCTATTGATTTTGGGGTCACTAGGTCAAGGTCACAGGGACCTTAAAATGTGAAAATGGTTTCCGCTGATTATCTTGAAAAGTATTCATCACAAAGTCTTCATATTTCACATAGTGATTGGTCATCACTAGTAGATGACCCCTATTGATTTTGGGGTCACTAGGTCAAAGGTCAAGGTCACAGGGGCCTTAAATGTCAAAAGGGTTTCCGCTGATTATCTTGAAAAGTATTCATCACAAAGTCTTCATATTTCACCTAGTTATTGGTCATAAGTATTAGATGACCTCTATTGATTTAGGGGTCAAAGGTCAATGTCACATGGGCCTTAAATGTCAAAATGGTTTCCGTTGATTTTTCCATAATTGAACACTTCCATGTACCAATTTTTGGCAAGTTTCTTTAATAAAATTACCAATTATATGAGTCAATGGCTAGAAAGGGGGGTATATGTGTCGTTCGACATTCTTGTTTGCAATTGTATACATATAGATATATATGTCAATGCAAGCAGTTAATAAATGACCGTGCATATTTTTATTACTAGTAGAATATGCAAGGTAGAAGACTGCAAGAGACATATTAAAAATGTAAACAAAGGAAAACAAGAAACAAAGCCTATATTTTGGCGTATAACATGTGCATTGTATAAGCTGAGGACAAATGCCTCCTGTCAAAGGTTTATACAGTAGGCATTTTATACATTTCACAAAACATCAGCTTGGTTTCCTTTGTTAATGTGAAGCATACATTCAAGACAAGTTTTATAGAATTCTTCTCCTAGGTTCTTATATTCATACAACATTTTGTTTGAATAAAACCTTCAAATTTCACTTTATTTGTTAGAAAACCTTGAGTTGATTGAACAAGGGAAGGCTGGGCCTCCTCGGGAAATTGACGAACTCTCTACTCGGGTGAAGCAAGAACCAGTGACTCCTGTGAAACAGCAGCGACAAGTTCAAACCCAAGTGGTTCATCAGCAGTTACAACCTCAGCTGATTTGTAAACAAGAGGCTGTGGTAATGGTGAAAACAGAACCAGAAATAAGTGTCACAGATGTCAATACATTTGATCCATCGCTACCTAATTTAGCAATGCAGGTATGTGTCTAATTAGTCACTGTTGCATATTGACTTGTATATTATATTCTTAGGAATATTCAAGAATTTTGAAATGAAAATTGTGTCAGTTATTAAAAGTTTTAATGGGCCTTAAAGAGAAAATTATATATAAATGGTACATTAAAATAGCTTTTGTACTCTATTCTAATAATGTTGCTTAGTTCAAAGTTAAAGCTTGCCAAGAAGTTAACATTAAAAAAAGGAAACTTTAATCTTGTCTTATAAATCATATTTTGGCTAAATTGAACTTAAAGCAAAACTTCTGATGACAGAACTCAAATATAACATATTGTTTCAGCCTGGTAGCGGAATGTGGGAGGAGGACCTAACTATAGGGGTTGGAAATCCAACACACCCTGGCATTGTATGCTCATCACCTTTAGTCTCGCCAACTATCAGTGGTAAGGGTTGATGAATTCTGTTATAATATTTCACAATTTTTTAAAAGTGTATCATGCTACATATCTGCTGTCTATAATTAACAAAATAATTGATTGAATTTAAAAAAAAAAAAGAATAATTGTAAAATACCTGTATTGAAGGAAAAGGTTAGTATATGGCATATGAAAAGCAAATGGCACATAGACAAAATAATTGCAAACGGTTAAGACATTCAAACCAATAGAAAATGTGTTAAAAATGTACAAACTCACTGATTTATCAGGGATGCCAGTCTTTTTTCTTTTTTTTTGCTGGAAAAAAATAAAGCATTAGTATGTATGGTTCTCATGAAACATGGAAATAAACAGAAATACCTAGTTTTTATTTTAATTAAATGATGTTGATTGGAGAAAGCTTTATCATCTTTTCATCAGCATTACTAAAGTTGAGTGTTTCTTTACAAAGCTGAAAAGTTGTCATTTTTATTGGTGAAACCTGACCTTAAACATTTAGTAAAATGTTGTAATTATATTTTATTATAAAGTTTGATTTATAATTTCAGGTTCAACACAGTACCACGGCAATGTAACATATACCTGTACGAGTCCCCAGATATCTCATAGTCCAATACACCATAATCTCACGCCGTCAAAACTTTATCCACAGACACCAACAAAAATCTATCCACAGACGCCGTCCAAACTGGTGCTAGCGTAGTTATTTCTCTTATACAATGTCACAATGTCATATCATACTCAAATGAAAAGAAAAAGATAGAGATTCTTTTATTTCCTCCATTTAGAAGAGCATATCATATGTACAAATCTATGATTATTTTGTTTTATAAGGAAGTTTTCAGCTAGATAAAAGAAAGTATAGTTGATAAGGTATTTTCCGGGTATAGATTGCAAAAATGTTTATCCAACAAGCTTGGTAACAAGTGAAAATATGTGTTTAAAAACAGCAAGATTTTGTTAAAGTTTGGAGATTATTGAAAATTAAATGTGAACATTTTGTTGATGTTTGGATCTTGATTGAATTGGTGTTTTGATATATATTTTTAAAGGGAAAAAAATCAAAATACAAAATTTTTAATGAACAATGAATTGATGTATATTTAAGTAGATGGGGGAAAAATACTATATAAAGGAAGCTTCAAGATTGAGTATGGTATAACTTGTGTTTGTTCATTGTTAATGTATTTTACATGAACACTTGTGTGTGATATATATAAATATATTTGTTTTCTTCAAAATTAATCAGTTTATGTATGTTTTCTTTTTTGTGTGTGATTTTTCTTATCAGTGATAACAGTACATATTTTATTCTATAAGTGTTCTAATTTAGTTGTCTGTAGATTGATGCTATGTAGGAATATTAGATTCTTTTTATCTTAAAACTGCTGTCCTAGCGTACTTCTGAGATGGTTTTATAAATGAAACATTTTTATTTTGTTTTGCCTAGATGTTAATTTGTAACAGTTTGCTCAATTTTTATGTCAAAATTCCAGTTGCCATGAAAATTCAGGGATCAGACTCATTATAAGCTTCATATCATCTACATTTACAGTATATATATATACATTTACAGCAATTAATATGCAAGTTTCAGGCAGTATTTTCATTGTAACAGGGACACTACTGAGGAGTTTTTGACATGACAAGACTGGAAATATACATTTTTTTGAGATTTTATAACAATTGATTTAGGTCTATACCATTAATTTGTGTGCAGAATTTCAGATCATTTTTACACAGGTATTTAAAAAAAAAATTTTTTACTTTTTGAACTCGGCGAAAACTGATCATTATATCTTGTTTATTTTTCCTCTGTGTTTTATAGTTTTCATTTACAGCAATATAAGTATATTATATTCATAAAGTTGTTTGTGGGTTTTTTTTTTTTGAAGATATTTATTTTGATTTTCTGTATCTAAGATTCGCACACTTATAAATGCAAAAGTGTTAGATTTTACTGTACAATAAGAGATAGGTAGTAAAAGAATAAAATTATTTTAGATAATAAACAACAGTGTAAAGCTGAACTTAAGAATTTTTGTTTTTCATGACCATGAAGCTTGTGGTTTAATTGGTGTTATGTATAGATATGTATAAATATCATATATTATGTAAAGCCTGATAAAAGAAATTAGGCTCTAATTCACGAAGTCATGATTTCCATATAACACATTATAGAATCTTTACATTCCTTCATTACTTTTGGAAATATTTGCCTGATTAACTTACTTTTATAATGGTACAAAGTTACAAATTATCTCTATTTAATTAATTGATTTCAAAGGAAATTATATTTGGCTGTTCTTATTTGTTGTTGTTTCTTTTATTTTTCAAGCAATTTATCACATATTATTGTTGCACTCTTTATTGTTAAGGTTGTTCAAATTTCAGAGTTAAAGGATAGTTAAAACTACTGAAAATAACTGCTTAATTCATGATTTTAACAATTTTTAGCTTGACTCTTTGTTATTTTTCAATGGATTCTCTTCAAACTTGAACATTATAATCTGTTAGAATAGACCGACAGATCTAGACATACACTCATAAGTGACATTGAACTTGAAGGTCAAATTATTGATATTCTCTCTCTTTTTTGGCTGTAACTGGCTTTAACTTTGTAATTATTATGGTTTGACGTCTAAGTACAACAGAACATTCTTTAGGATACGACCTTCATGTATGTTAAACTCATATTGACCTTGGCTCTTTTATGACCTTGAACTTGAAGCTTAAACTATTGAATTTTCACTGCGTTTTGCTATAATTGACTGTAATCTGTTAATTAATAAATGGTTTATCTTCGTACTTTGAGGAAACACCATTTTGGACAAGACCTGTGAAAAGTTGGACATGACAGTGACTTTGAGCTTTAAATGACCTTTAACTTCAAATTTAGACACATCATCTTTTAGGTCAGGACCTATGTATATCAAACACAAATTGGCCTCGACTCATGTATGACCTTGAATGTAAAATTATTTAATTTCCACTGATTATCTACAATTGGCAGTAACTTGGTAATTAATCAATGAATTATTTATTTGTTTGCTTTTAGAGCAAAGTATAAAAAAAAGTCGAGCCTTGCCACCGCCTGGCAGTGGCTCTTGTTAAGTATAAAGTTTAAAATTATTGACACTTTTTAATAAACACAAGCAAATGTTTGATATGTTATAAAGCAGCTATGAAGATGATATTTGATGACAAGATAAGTTACTATAATAGATGATGTTTCAAGATGGCTCATTAACATTTGGGGTTCATAATTTATGAATGCAGAATTAGAAAGATACATCATAATGCAGTATCTGTCATTGCTGATTTCCTCATTTCCATCTTTACATTTAAATTGTTGCAATTCTTCTTTTCATCAAACGTGTATATATTAAAAATAGATACGAAAAAAAAAGCGAAAAAAAAAATACAGACTCATCTCTTGCTTACACATCTATTTTTATTTCACCTTCATCAAATACTCCCAAAAAATCATAACAGTACCAAGTACATATACAACATGGTGACTACATATTTTTATTGTAATGTATTATAATAAAATGTATTGAATTATGTATTTTTCTAGTCCACAGAGTGTTCAAGAAATAACGTTGTTCCATTTTTTTGTGTGATACAAATCATATACTATACATATTATTAAAGAATATAAACTTTGCATTTTTATATTGGCAGCATTTTTGAGATATTTTTTTTGTAATACTTACTTTGCAGAATTGGTGCATTTTCGTAATAAAAGAAAGCAGTGGTTCTGCCAATTATTTGTATATATTGTTCTTTTTTTATATAAAGATTTGAGGCTCTACTGTTTGTAGGAAGATAAATGTTGTTAAATTTTGTCAGAATGAATTTGTATTGTTAGATGTAGATTGTTTTTTTTTTTTGTCTTGAAAAAAGAAAGTAAAGAATGTGATGGGGGTTTCAATCATATATTTATATAGCTCTTATATGGCAGCAAATATTGTACATATAAAAACACTTGCAAACAGTGTAATGTGTGTAATCTGTCCTCTGTTTGTTTTACTGGATATGTAAATATTGGCAGTTTCTTTGTACCTTTATTTTAATATATTTATACTTGAAGTAGAAATTACCTGTCTGTCAAGTGAGCGGGTTATGTTAGATTATGTTTGAGATTGTATGAATTGTATGAAATGAGCCACGTCATGACAAAACCAACATAATGCGTTTGCGACCAGCATGGATCCAGACCAGCCTGCGCTTCCACGCAGTCTGATCAGGATCCATGCTGTTTGTTTACAAACTCTATTACAATTAGAGAAACTGATAGCGAACAGCATGGATCCTGATCAGACTGTGCGGATGCGCAGGCTGGTCTGGATCCATGCTGGTCGCAAACCCATTATATTGGTTTTGTCATGACGCGGCTCAAATGGTTATTAGCATTTTAGTTACTTTGTCAAGAAAGTATCATGTAAGAAGAAAAAATCTGTTAATAGTTTTGGTTATTTGTATGATCATGAAAAAAACGGAAAAAAAAACAAACTTACTTGGAATTTGATTGAGCACAAGAAGAATCTCAGTAGAGAGTTAAACTTTCATAACTCGGACTTTACTTATATGCCATCTTATATGATGAACATTTGAGTACAATTGTAAACTTCCATGTGTGTGCCTAAAATCTTAATATCTTAGAAAGTATTTTTAGAGGTTTTTTAGTCCCCTACCGGTTTAACCGGAGGGGACTTTAGGTTTACCCTCCGTCCGTCTGTCCGTCTGTCTGTCTGTCCGTCCGTCTGTCTGTCTGTCTGTCAGTCCGTCAGTCCGTCCGTCCGTCCACAAAACTGGATCCCGCGATAACGCAAAAAGTACTGAAAATATTTTTATGAAACTTGATATATGGATAGATGGCAGTATGGAGATTATGCACGTCTTTTTTTTTTCTTCCTATGTTGAAAATTCTGGTTGCTATGGCAACAAATAGTCTGAAAATATGGCAAATTTAACACATAAACTGGATCCAGTGATAACTCAAAAAGTACTGAAAATATTTTTATGAAACTTGAAATATGGGTAGATGGCAGTCTGGAGATTATGCACATCTTTTTCTTTTCTTCCTATGTTGAAAATTCTGGTTGCTATGGCAACAAATAGCCTGAATTTCAAGATTTCTGATTTAAATTTTTCAGCTTTTTCACTATATGTTCTTTATTTCTTAAGGTGTTTACTTCAAACTTTAAATATAAGTTTCTGGTCATCAACCACATCATATGTGACAAGGTTAATAACTCTAGCACAAAAAATATCAGTATTACCTCCCTTGAACTTAGATTTTTTAGGGGAAAAAATGTTGTCTTTTTTAAATAACTTCTTTATTTCCTAATGTATCTACTTCAAACTTCATATATATGTTTCTTATTATCACTCGACATTTTTGAGAAGGTTAAATACTCTAGCAAGACTATTTCCAGAATTATGTCCCCCTTGAACTTAGATTTTTTTCTAGAAACTGGTATTTTCACTTCAACTTCTTCATTCCTTATAGGATTTACTTTAAAATCCCACATCGTAATAATATGACAAGGTTGTATAAACATAATTTCCTTACTAAGCATGGAAACTTAACACATTACTGTGATATAGACAAACTTATTTTATTATGTTTTGTGGTTGATATTTTCAAATACAGACTTCATCCTCAAATTCATTATAAATGGCAATACACAGGAGTGTATGACAATTAAAGAACTTTTTGAGGGACCGGTAGGGGACTACTGTATTGCCCGCAATACTATCAAATGCTTGTTTATTTAGATAACTCTGGATTCATGAATTCGATCAATTTTCTAGAAGTTGTACTTCAAAAGAAATCTTGTATGAAAATTGATGCATATATGTAATTAACTTGCATATTTTTGTACATGATTATATGTTTGTTGTATTATCTGGTAAATGAGATAAGAATTTTCAAATTGTTAGATTTACAGGAGAAAATGAATTAATTGTTCTAAATGATAGAGTTAGTACAAATTAATTGTTCTTAATGATAGAGTTAGTACACTGTAATAATTAGAAAGAATTCTGGAAAACTGAATTAAATCAAATGAATCAGGCAACTTTAGTAAACATAGTTTAGTGTTTACTTAGACTAAAATGCTGACAAGTAATTTATGCTGAATTGTTCAAAAACATTATTTCTTTATTTTATTTGTAAGTAATTTAAAAAATTATTGCAGAAAACTTTTTTTATAGTTTTGCTATTCTGTTAAAGAAAGAAATTGAACATGTTTACTTTTTTTCCAAAAGTTGATATAAGATTGATTGTTTGTTTATGACTGTAAGTATGTATTGAAGTTATTGTGTGATTTTATGGTAAAGTTTAAGTAGGAATGTGTTAAAGTGGATGAATGTGTTCCCTAGGAAATTAAATGTTTGTCACTAGTGCAGAGAGTAAAAGATCAATTGTTGGCTTTTGCAGTTAAAGGGATATGTCTAAAGATTTCCATTAAATTGTTGACATGGCTTTGAACAATTCAAATAGCAGCTGATTATATACATAAGTATTTCACTTTCACACTGTAGTGTGTAATCCAACAAACCTTGTTTATTTTTATAGACAAAAATCTTTACCTCTTGTTTCCCTCTTAGTATTATGCAATTTGAATTAAGTTAAATTTTGCTTGTTTTCAAAGCTTAAATAAAAAGGAGAAAAATGAAATATTCATATTGCATAATGATTATGGATCTTTTAAATACAACTTACAAAATACAGCGTTTATGTTTCATGTTTGATATTTTTTATTGTTCTTTATTAAAGTTACAATGCTACTTACTTGTGACATGTAACTCCACCTGAGGTCTATGGCCACACACGGGTCCTGTAGGTTTCCTGTTTGGAATACTTGCTTATACCCTCAATTTTTCTGGCCAATATACTTATTGTTAACTTTTGCTAGCTGATAAAGTGTATTGTGCCATGTTGAAGCTTTTATTAAAGGTATTTGATACTAGGATTGTAGAGATACATGTATTGTAAAATGGCATATAACTGTGATCTCAGAAAGGGTTGTATGAGTTATTTATTTGTTGTGATTGATGTAAAGAATGAACATGAAGTATAAATGATAAGGATTATTCCTGTAATGAAATATAATAATGATTGCCATTATCTATGACTTGTATGCTTTCCAGAAAATTATTTGATAATTATTGCCTATATACTTGTATACACATGTTTTTTTTAAATGAAATGTTATAATTATTGCTTATATACACATATATATTTTAAATGTCACTCTTTCCTGTAATAATTATGGTATTCATATTAGAATGATACTCTATAAAATGTAATAATTATAAACTATTATGGAATCAAATTATTTCCTTTATTGGAATAATATTCTTTCCTGTAATAAGATGTAATAAATATTACCATAAACAGAATGTGTTAATTGTAATAGTTATTATTATCTTTATTGGAATCATATTATTTCCTGTAGTAGTATATACCTTATTGGAATAATATACTCTCCTGTAATAAGATGTTATAATTATTACATATGTTATTTTGACATAATAATTATGATCTTTAATGGAATCATATTTTAATAATATATATTACTTTTAATGGAATCATATGCTTTCCTGAAATAAGATTTGATAATTACTACTTTAAATGGAATCGTATTCCTTCTGGAAATGATTTGTTAATCTTTAAATAATGGAATTTTTTCTTTCCTGAAACAAGAAGTAACAAATTTTGCTCTTATTTATGAATGAGATTTACTCATGTTAAAAAGTATGAAAAAGTTTTTGATTTATTTAAATGACATGTTAATTAAATAGAGCGTTTTAGTTGTTTAGCTATTTGAAATTACATAATTGTTGTGATATTCAACGTGATGTAAATGAGAAGAAATAATGGCATCTTAAAAATGTAATAATTGGTTTGACAGTTTCAGTCTTTTTTGATGTAATGTTTTAAGGAAATATATTTTTTATAAGGCTAAATTGGGCTCGAATAATAAAATGAATTTAAGAATTATGGAGCATATTCTTTTAAAAGGTCATTAATATAACCAGTGCCTTAATATATGTGTGAGTGTTGTAATAATGTATGAGCAATGAAATATGATACATCATTAAAATTTATTACACACTTCAGGTATAAGATAGATATCTTTGTCTTTATGTATGCATTTGTTAGAACAGAATTACTGAAATAAGTTTAATAAGTGTGGGATCAAAATACATACATTATAGATATCATTATTATAGGAAACATTGTATATGGTATAGGTCAGTGCTGGTGTGTAGAAATATAGTTTAACTGAGTAAATGTTGTTTATGTTCTGTATAATATAATTAAATAGCAATGTGGTTTTGGAAAATGAAAGCTACTGTATGAATGTGTATGTAGAGACGATGGAGTGTAGATCAATAAATGTTATGAACAATAATAATTTACCACTATAACAAGACAAACTTGTATTGAAAATACAGTGGTTTGTTTTTTGATACTATTCTGTTTTAATGCTATAGATTGTAAAAGCTATGACACTGCCAGAAATATTTTGATTAAATCGGTGTGTATATACACTTAACAATTTTGTCTTATGTTGTGTTTGTAACTTTGTATTATAGAACGTTAATAGTAACATATCAGAAATTTAAAACTGCATGTTTGCAGCCGAGCCACTTTTTACAATAGTGAAATTGTAGACGAGTTTTATAAAGCTATGTAACCGGTTACAAAGTGACATGGTGAGCTTTTGTGATCACTTTTCGTCCAGCGTCCGTCCATAAACTTTTACTTTAAAGGACATCTCCTCATAAACTGCTGAGCCAATTTCATCCAAACTTCACAGGAATGTTCGTTTGGTAATCAACTTTAAAAATTGTTAAAAAAATTTAATTCCAAGCAG